CGTCAACACTGGGAAGGAAGCCGCCGTTCTTTTTCTTCTTAGTCGTTGAAGTCTAAGTGAGCTCTTAATTATAAAGTAATGGAAGGTAGTATATTTCAGATAGGATTGTGTCCTTGGTAGCATTTCTTTTCTTTCTTTTTCTTTTTTTTTTAAGGCAACCCTGGAGTTTCTTTTTTATTATTATTATTTTTTTATTTTATTTTATTTTTTGACAGGCAGAGTGGACAGTGAGAGAGAGAGACAGAGAGAAAGGTCTTCCTTTTGCTGTTGGTTCACCCTCCAATGGCTGCCGCGGCCGGCGCGCTGCGGCCGGCGCACCGCGCTGATCCGATGGCAGGAGCCAGGAGCCAGGTGCTTTTCCTGGTCTCCCATGGGGTGCAGGGCCCAAGCACCTGGGCCATCCTCCACTGCACTCCCTGGCCACAGCAGAGAGCTGGCCTGGAAGAGGGGCAACCGGGACAGAATCCGGCGCCCCGACCGGGACTAGAACCCGGTGTGCCGGCGCCGCTAGGCGGAGGATTAGCCTAGTGAGCTGTGGCGCCGGCCTGCATTTCTTTTCTTTCTGTGTCTCTTTTGGTAAGAATATACTGCCGTATTTCAAAATACAGGATTTTCATGAAATGATTTTCAAATAGACAATTAGGTCTTGCTCTCATATTAAGGTTAGTATATCATTCAGCTATTACTTTAGTAAAATAAATAAACAGTAATGGAACTATAAATATAGTAGTAAGGGCAAGTGTTGTGGTATAAAGGTTAAGCTAATGCTTGGGTTGATTGCATCTTATATGGGAGTGCCTGAGATGGCACCTGGCTCCTCTGCTTCTGACCCAGCTTCCTGCTAATGCACTCTGGAGGCATCAGAAGAGGGCCCTGCGTGGAAGACCTGGATGGAATTCCTGGCTCCTAGATTTACCCTGGCCAGGGCTCAGCTATTGTGAGCATTTGGGGATGATCCATAAGATGGAAGATCTCCGTTCTCTCCTTCTCACACTCTCACTCAGTCTTTCAGATAAACAAAGAAATCTTTCTTGTATGTGTACATATAATTGTAATTGTAGTTATTTTGATTTGGTGTTTTATGCTATGTTTAGGCAATTTTAGGATAGGGAGAAGAAATCAAGAGTTCTTGCTGAGCACACTTGCTGCTGAAGAATTCTTTAAACAAAATAATGTGTTTTCACTTCCGAGCAAAATGACAAAGCTAACCCTGGTATTTGGAGAGCTAAAGCAGTGAAGGCTCCTTTAGAAACAGGTGGCAGTTAACGGGTGCAGCAGTTAAGACCCTATCACTTGAGACATCCACATTAGAGTATCGGGTCAAGTCCCAGCTCTGCTTCCGGTGTCAGCCTCTTGCTAATGCATACCCTAGGGCCAAAACGTGATGGTTGGGAGCTGGGTCCCTGCCACCCATGTGGGACACTCAGATTGAGTTCCCAGCTTCCTGGCTTTGACCTGGCCCAGCCCTGGCTACTGTGGGCATTGGGGAATGAATCAGTGTACGAAAGCTCAGTTTTCTCTCTCTGTCTCTGTCTCTGTCTCTCTCTGACTTTCAAGTAAATCAACATGAAATTTAAAAGCAGCAACAGGACCATTTGAGCTCTCTAGGGTGTGGCCCAGTAGATGCCTTCAAACAATTGCATGATCAGATATTGTATCTTAGGAATATAGCTCCAGAGACTGAGAATGAAATTAAAGCAGTCTTAATCAGTAGGAAGACCAGTTAGCCTATTAGAATAGTCCGGGGAGAAATGATGATGGCGTCTTTGTTTTTTCCCCCCAAAAAACCACTGATTTAATGAGTACAAATTTCAGAAGTACAACTTTAGGAATATAGTGATTCTTCCCATCATACCTGCCCTCCCACCCCACTCCCACTCCCAGCCCACCACCTCTTCCCTCTCCCATTCCCAGTTCCATTCTCCATTAATTAAAAAAAAAAAAAAAGAAAAGAAAAGAAAGGAAAAAACAGTCAAGACAAGGGCTGTTCAAGTCATTGCTTCTCAAAGTGTCAATTTCACTTCTATAGATTACCTTTTAGCTGCCTTGTTAGTTATCACAGCGGGAGGAACATGGTATTTGACCCTTTGGGACTGGCTTATTTCACTCAGCATGCTGTTTTCCAGATTCATCCATTTTGTTGCAAATGACTGGATTTTTTTTTTTTTACCACTGTGTGGTATTCCATAGAGTACATATCCCATAATTTCTTTATCTAGTCTTCAGTTGATGGGCATTTAGGTTGATTCCGTGTCTTGACTATTGTGAATTGAACTGCAATAAACTTGGAGCTGCAGATAATGCTTTTATTTGCTGATTTTACTTCCCTTGGGTAAATTCCCAGGAGTAGGATGTCTGGGTCATATGGTAGGTCTATATTCGGATTTCTGGGGTATCTCCAAGCTGACTTGCATAGTGGTTTTACCAGTTTACATTCCCACCAACAATGGATTAGGATACCTCCTCCCCCCACATCCTCTCCAGCATTTGTTGTTTGTAGATTTCTGTATGAAAGCCATTCTAACAGTGATGAGGTGAAACCTCATTGTGGTTTTGATTTGCATTTCCCTTATGGCTAGTGATCCTGAGCATTTTTTCATGTATCTGTTGGTCTTTGGATTTTCCTCTTTTGAAAAATGCCCATTTAAGTCCTTGGCTACTTTCGTCACTGGGTTGTTTGTTTTGTTGTTGTGGAATTTTTTTGATCTCTTTACACATTCTAGTTATTAATCCTTTATAACTGCATTACTGCATTATTTGCAAATAATTTCTCCCATTTTGTCGGTTGCCTCTTCACTTTCCTAAGTGTTTTGTTTGCAGTATAGAAGCTTCTCAATTTGATGTAATCCCATTTGTTGATTTTGGCTTTAATTGCCTGTGCCTCTGGGGTCTTTTCCAAGAATTCTTTTTCTGTGCCAGTGTCTTGCAGGGTTTCCTCAATGTTCTCTAGTAATTTGATGGTATCAGGTCATAGATTTAGGTCTTTAATCCATGTTGAATGGATTTTCATGTAAGGTGTGAGGTAGGGGTCCTGCTTCATACTCCTGCATGTGGAGATCCAGTTTTCCCAGCACCATTTGTTGAAGAGACTGTCCTTGCTCCAGGAATAGGTTTTAGCTCCTTTGTCAAAAGTAAGTTGGTTGTAGATGCTTGGATTGATTTCTGGCATTTCTGTTCTGTTCCATTGGTCTAATCATCTGTTTTTGTACCAGTACTGGGCTGTTTTGATTATAACTGCTTTGTGATGATGGCTTCTTTAATTAAGGCTGCACAGTAGGGGTGGAGGAGGATAAACTGAGCAGTGTTTCCTGTGTACTGCAGTGGAGACTGGGGAACAGTTGGATGTGTGGACTGGGCCTTTCTCTCTCTCCCTCCCTCCTCCCCCCTCCTTCCCTCCTCCCCTTTCCTCCTCCCCTCCTCCCCCCTCCCTCCTTCCCTCCCTCCTTCCCTCCTCCCCTCCCTCCTTCCCTTCTCCCCTCCCCTCCCTTCTTCCCTCCTTCCTTTCCCTCCTCTCCCTCCTCCCCTCCTCCTTCCCTCCTTCCTTCCTTTCCCTCCCCTCCCTCCTTCCCTTCTCCCCTCCCCTCCCTTCTTCCCTCCTTCCTTTCCCTCCCCTCCCTCCTCCCCTCCTCCTTCCCTCCTTCCTTCCCTTCCCTCCCCTCCTTCCTTCCCTCCCTCCTCCCCTCCCTTCTTCCCTCCTAACTTTCCTTCCTCCTCCCCTCCCTCCTCCCCTCCTTCCTTCCCTCCCTCCTCCCCTCCCTTCTTCCCTCCTCCCTTCCCTCCCTCCTCCCCTCCCTCCTCCCCTCCCTCCTCCCCCCTACCTTCCCTCCCTCCTGCCCTCCCTCCTCCCCTCCCCTCCTGTCTCCTCTCCCTCCATGCATGTTCTTTCTTCAGTTTTAAGGAAGAAAGTTGCTGTAAAGTATTCTTTGTGGAGAAGGCAGCTCACCAGACCTTAGCTATTCTCACTTACGGCGCATTTACTGATAACCAGAGTATCCCTAGGTAATTGAATAGTGATCCAAAGTCAGCTTCTGCTTGCTCTGATTTGGTGTGGTATGGCTTGATCTCTACTAATAATTAGACTTAAAGGGAAATGAGTGAATCAAGTGATTCTTAAAACCAATTGTGTGCCTCAAAGTCAGGAACTTTGAGAGACCCTCTGTTCACTTAGCAAGGGGCTCCATTCCTCTGTGACAATCCAGTCCCTTGGCTTAGTAAAGAGTGCATCTTTCTGGCTGTGTTGTATCGATGAACTATACAAAGTACTTAGTACTTAGATGAACTTAGTACAAAGGTGTACTAAGCCATGTGCATGCTGGACAGTCACACAGAAACACTGAGGAGCTGTTTCCCTCTATGGTGCTTCTCAGATTCAGGCGTGCCTCTCACTGTGTGGCCGCCGCTCCTGGCAGGTTCTTACTTTCTCACGTTTGGATTACTGCAGGAGCTTTCCGGCTTGTCAGTGTCTCCTCTTCTCTTGAGGTACCGTGCTCTCTGATACCGGGCTATGCCCCTCTACATGATCTCCATAGCCTTACTCCCTGCGTGTCGTGCACGGTAAGGCCCATCCCTCTGGCATTCCATCTTCATCATAGTCTAGCCTTGGATGTGCCTTGGCAGCCCGGCTTCAGATCTACTTCCTGGGCACATTAGCCCCTGAAGGTGTCCCAGGTGTCCCAGTCTGTGTCCTCCATTGTGTCCTCCAGTGCCACTGCAGGCAGAGAGCACAGTGTGAGCTGGCTTTGTATCCTCCCTAGCACTGAGCACAGTTCCAGCTCAGTACGGACGTGGAGTAGGGAAGATTTCTCCTTCTACCCCTTGTCCATGGATTCATCTGTCCCCTCTGTCTGTACTGTGTTTCTAGTTGTTTTGGCTTCCTAACTTCCTTCTCCTTCCTAGAGGAGCTGACAGTTATATAACATGTATTATCCAAAGCTCACAGGACGCTTTAAACACTGATAAGAGGATATCTTTATTTTTAAATAGAAAAACCTTTCCTCTTTAACCAAAACCACAGTGACTCAGCTACTTAACATGTCTACAGTGGTTTCTGCGTTTTTCTGTGGCCAGTTTTTATGATGGCTGTGGATCAATATTAGCCTTTTTGGAAATACAGCATTTGGTGTTAATCATGACATTCTGAAGGAATCACTTCAGTTAACCTGGTAGCCCAATTTAGTAGGCCTGTGAAAACAAAAAAGGAAAAAATAAGAAGTTGGACTGTGGTCTGCTTTCTTTAGTGTATATAAGCATGGGTTCAAGGGAAGTAAAACAACATTCATGAAGGACTTATTCTAAGATACTCTTAAATTTCCTAATTTTAAATACCAATGGGTTTTTTTTTTTTTTGCTCAGTTTCTTCATTTAGAGATTTATTTTATTTATTTGAAAGAGGCGCCCATATAGGATGCCAGTGCTGCAGGCTGGGGCTTTAATCCATTGTGCCACAGCACCGACCCCTAAGCTGCTTCATTTTTTAAAACCAACCAACCAACTTCCCTCCCTCCTTCTGCATTCTCTCCCTCTCTCTCTTTTTCTCTCTCTCAAGCAGAGAGTGAGAGAAGACGACACAAACACACATACACACATACACATAGATCTTCATCCACTGGTTCCCTCCCCAAATGGCTACAGTGGCTGGGTCTGAGCCAGGCCATAGCCAGGAACTCCATCCACGTCTCCCACATGGATGGCGGGGGCCATCTTCCCTGCTTTTCCTGGGGCACGTTAGCAGGAGGCTGGATTGGAGGCAGAGCAGCTGGGCCTGAAGCCAGCACTCCAGTGTGGGGTGCTGACGTAGCTGGCAGAAGCTTAGCCTGCTGTGTTACAGTGGTGGTCCAGAGCCTTCATTTTTTAAATTCAGAGAAATAATTGCTTCGTCATAAGAACGTGTAATAACTGAGAAGAGTGAGGCTTACTCACCGTCTGCTACATGGCACTAACTCAATTCATACCTCAGCCAACCCACAAGTTGCTGTGTTGTGGCCCTGTGGGCTCTCCCGGCAAGAACAGAAGCAATAAATATTAAATCTATAAATGTCAAGGGGTTACTTTAGTTGCCTCTTTGTTGCTAAAGGAAAGAGAGGTTCAAAGGCTATGTCAAATTACAATCTTTTTCAACGTAAAAATGAATGAATGAATGAATGCAACAAGCTGGACTAGGAATCTTGGTTTGTGTTTATTTTTATTTAACACCCTGTCAGTAAAGATTTTTCAGAGCTCTTTCTCTTTTTCATAATGAATTTTCCCTGATATTTTCTAGTTGGACAGAGAGGTAATAAATCATAAGAAAGTAAACAATATCAAGTAGCGATCAATGTCATGACAGAAAGCAAACAAGAGAATCCACTGTGTTACTGCCTTCTGTTAGAAACAATGGGAGAAGAAGGCCCCTGTGAGCAAAATGACTTCAGAATTGAATGATGCGGTAGAGCCAAGAATATGAAATGGCAAGTACGAAGGCCATGAGGCAGCCTAAGCTTTATGTGTTCAAAACTGAAAGAATGCCAGGGTGACTAAAGCATGGTGAATGCCTGAGTGGATGAAATACAGAGAAGCAGAAAATGTGGTCTGAGAGCTGGGCGGGGGCCAGATCAGTAGACATAAAAGCAGTAGTGTAGTTTTTGCATTTGGGTACAGTGTATAAGTTTTCCACTGCAATGCATAATGGTTACCATGTTAAGTTTTTTTTAAAGAGTTATTTGTTTACTTGAGAGGCAGAGTTACAGACAGAGGGAGAGAGAGAGAGAGAGAGAGAGAGAGAGAGGTTCTCCATCCACTGGTTCACTGCCCAAATGGCCACAATGGCCATGGCTGAACCAGGCTGAAGCCAGGAGCTTCTTGCGGGCGCTGGGAACATCCTGGTGGGTGAGGTGAACGCAGTGGCCTGCTGCAGGGGAGGAGACAATAGTGTTTTCTCTAGAAAGCTTGAGTTCTTAGCTGAGACCATTTGTAGCAGGAGATGAATTAGCGAAAGAAAAGCAAGCACATTTTTTTCTTTTGTATTCGAAATGCTCTATTGTGCCTATATTTTCTCTTCTCTGAATTTTTTTATGCTTACTTTCTTTCTTCTCTGATTAAAATACACATTTCAAAAGGACAAGGATTTTATTTTCCATTTTGTATTAATACATAACACTTGCCCATATTTCAGGGTCAACATATCAAAACACACACACAGCATAGAATGCCCATACCAGGCAAACAGCCTTTCCAGTTCTTCATGTTCTCTTTTTATTTAGAGTCTACCTGCTCCTCTGTTCCAGTTCTTTTTATAGAATATCATACATCATTATGAGCTGTAGACTCCCCACTGGGCTGCAAAATATTGGAACCCATTACTTTCATCCTACTGCTGTTGTGTGTTGGTACCCATTATCCAGCCTCCCTCATTGCCTCCTCCACCTTTCCTAGACTGCTTATCACTATTTTAAACTCAGATCAAATAGATATACTTAATGTATATATAATTATTATCACCAATATTATTATTTTAACTTCTGCTTATAAGAATAAACACATGGTATTTGTCTTTCTATTTGTCTTAACATAATGATCTTCAGTTCTGTCCATCCTGCTGTAAACATTAGGGTTTTATGGCTGACTAATGGTCCGTCGTGTAGAGGTACCACATTTCCGTTGCCCTGCATCCGTTGATGGACATGGAGGTTGATTCCGTGTTGTTGCCCTTGTGAATAGTGCTACCATGAATGCGGGAGTGTAAGTGTCTCTTTCATATGCTCATCTTACTCCTTGTGATACATATGCAGAAGAGGTTTAGCTGGGGGATAATGCTAGACTACTTTTAGTTTTTTTGAGGAACCTCCATACTCTTCTCCACAATGGCTATACTAACTTGCATTCCTACCAACAGTGTGTAAGGGTCCCCTTTTCCACATTGTCACAAGCATTTGTTATTACATGTTCTTACTCAAGTGAGATGACACATAATCGTGGCTCTGATTTGCAGTTCCCTCCTGTCAGTGATATTGAGCATTTTTGCCTGTGTTTGTTGGCCACTTGTATTTCTCTTTTGGGAAATGTCTGTTCCAATCCCGTACCTATTTCTTAACTGAATTGTTATTTTGTTGTTGCATTTTTTAGTTCCTTGTATATTCTAGATATTTATACTTTGTCAGGTTAATAATTTCCAAATATTTTCTTCCATTCTGTTAATTGTGTCTTCACTTTGTTGATAGTTTCCTTTTCTGTGCAAAAACTTCTTAGTTGGATATAATTCTTTTTTGTCTATTTTGTCTTTTTTTTTTTTTTTTTTGCCTGTGCCTTTGCACACTGGGAGGCAGTAGGTGATAGATCAAGTAGGTGGGTCCCTACCATCCACGTAGAAGACCCAGGCTGTTGTGGCTTTTGGAGTGTGAACCAGTGGGTGGAAGACACCGTCTATGTCTGTCTTTCAAAAAAAAAAAAAAAAAAAGATGTGTATAGGGTGGATATTGTAGTACAGCATATTAAGCAGCTACTTGGGATGCCTGTATCCCATATCAGAGTGCCTGGTTTGAGTCTTAGCCAATAAACACTTCTTTTTTTTTTTTTTTTTTTAAGATTTATTTATTTGAAAGAGTTACAGAGAGAGGTAGAGACAGAGAGAGAGAGAGGTTTTCCATCCTCTGGTTCACTCCCCAGTTGTCTGCAATGGCCGGAGCTGCGCCAATCCGAAGCCAGGAGCCAGAAGCTTCTTCTGGGTCTCCCAAGCGGGTGCAGGGGCCCAAGCACTTGGCCCATCTTCTGCTGCTTTCCCAGGGCATAGCAGAGAGCTGGATTGGAAGAGGAGCAGCTGGGACTAGAACCGGTGCCCATGTGGGATGCCGGCGCTTCAGGCCAGGGCTTTAACCCTCTGCGCCACAGCACCAGCCCCAATAAGCACTTCTGATCCAGCTTCCTGCTAGTGCACCTGAGAGACACCCAATGATTCCCCAAGTTCTCACTACCCATGTGGGAGACCAAGATGGAGTTCCTGGCTCCTGGCTTCAGCCTGGGCCAGCCTTGGCTGTTGTAGGCATTTGGGAGTAACCAACAGATGGAAGATACCTCCTAACTCTGTGTCACTCTACTTTTCAAATAAATAAATAAATAAATCTTTTATTTAAAAAAAGTATGGTTATCCAAAAAGTATAGTTGCGGTTACCACTTACTAGTGTAGAAAAAGAAACATATGTTTCCTTCCACCTTTCCACGTTTTTGTTCAAGTCCCCTGTAACAAAAGACAGATTCATAGATTAATGTGAGAAATATACAGACTTATTGATGTAAGTTTATGTAATGCAAAAAACTTCAAAAGAAAACGAAGATCTAAGAAATGGTTAAATCTTAGTATTTTAATGCTAGACTTGGTGAAGAATGGAGAGTTGTTTGAAAATGTGATTGGGCAAGGAGTGTGGCCTAAAAATAGTAGATTGGGCAGATGTTTATCAAGATGTATTCTTTCAGCTTCTCCTTGTGATCCCTTGGTCTTCTCAGGTAGCGGGAAGACACCTGCTACATGAGGGTCTTATGACCTGCTTCAGGGCAGTAAGGTGGAGAAAGGTCCTTCCCAGTGTTCCTCAGATTCCTGGAGTTTATAAAAATCAATATGCTAAAATACCATATTTTGGGGTATTATGTCTTGAACTGTATCACCAACTCATGACCTTAGGCAAACACTTAACTTTTACAAGCTCAGGTGTCTCCTATGTAAATGGACATAGTTGGTTGTTCTAATCAAATGCAATAATATATAGTAAGGGCTTGATATAGTTCATGGGCCTTATGAACTCTGAAAAAAGGTAGCTATTATCCATACTTTTAGTAACTTTGTGTTTATCAAGAGTCTGTGCTATGCAAGTTACCTTGTTAAGCTTTGCTTGCAACAGATATGAGCATGAGATAAATAAAGGAGCCCGTCAGGCATCACAACCCATAGACACTTGTCTTGTTCCGTGTCATCGTGCAAGGCAGCCTGTGGCAGAACCGCATGTGGACAGGTGTTGAGCTCACAAGAGAAATGGAGGGGAAGCAGATGACCTCCAGTAAAAGTAGAAGAAAAGCCATCGTGACTCTTAAGATTTTCCCACCTCTAAAATTCAGCTGAATCCAATTGAAGCCATGGCTGTGGGGGGGGAGGGTTGAGGCACAGGAGGGGGATTTGCAATCAGTTATCACCTTTATTTCAGAACACAGACGTTCATTAAATAAATGTCCCCATCTTGACATACTCATTTTGCAGAAACAAATTCACTTGCTAATGATGGGTTGACCCATATAAAAATGAAAATACAGTTTTTTTCACAGTGACAGCTGTTAACAGTGCCTAAAATTCTGTTACATATAAATGCTAGAGATACAAATTTGACAGTGAATTGGAGGTTATGGTAGGAAGATGGTAAAAACAGTTCACAACTTACCAAGGTGGGTATAACACCTCATTAATTTTATTAACAGCAACAACAAAATCCACACAGACACATAAAGAAAAAAATGAATGCAGGTCTGGCTTTAGGGAATAGTCAAAATTCTATATTGATCAATTTCAAATTAAAAACGGGCATCTGCTAATACTTACGCCGTCTGCTTCAGCCTGGAAATCATATGAGCTCTGTACACGCACTGCTCAGGGACAGGAGTGAAAGGACTGCGACACCTTCTGGTTTCAGGCCTGTGTCGCTAACATGGCTTTAAGGAAGCAGTTCTAATTAAAGATATCCCTAAAACTGTGGAATTAAAAGATAATGTAAATTTCCATGAACTTTTTAACTCCACCACCACCATAGACACTGTGACTGAGTTCCTTGAACTCCCTGAGAGTGAGTGTGATTCTCGTTAAAAATTGAGAAGACAGGTACACTGTAGCACCACAAGTCTGTGTTTAGAAGTGACTGTTCTCTGGACCGAATTGTGGACAGCCCCCTTGCAACTCAAATTTTAACACCTTAGATTCGTTCACGGCGGATGGCAGGCACAGGACCTGGGCCAGTTCCTTGTGGAACACAGTGGTGAAGCGTCATCTTCTAGTAGGAGGTCTTCATGGGCTGTGTTGATTGAAAGTTGGCCGGCGACAGTGCAGGCAGTGCCGGGTACCCTGCCCGGCGCACCTCTGCACTCTGGGGTCCTGCAGGTTCCTGGAGCTGCCTCTGACCAGGGTAAGACTGCGGGCGGTCACTTGCCTGCTGCTTCCATGTTTTCATTAAGAGTAGAAATATGATAGACTTGGTATTCTGTAGGCGCTAACAAGATCCCATTATCTTATGATTCTGTTATCTCCAGACCGTGTTTTTCAGGGTGGGAAACAGATATTGAGAGAGAGCATTCAAAGAGGCCGGCAGGATTGTAAACAGTCTAAAATGGTAAAAAATCAGCTCATAGAAGACTCCGCAACACAAACGATTAAGATGGGGAAAAAAAAATTAAGATCATCTTAAAATATTTTCATTAATGCCACAGGAAAAAAAAAAAGTAGACTTTTTAACTGAAGTGGCTCTTACCTACAGTGCTCTAACTACACACACACAAAAGCCCGAAATACAAAGGAAAGAGAAATTTTTCAAGATGATGGGTAGGTTTCTGGCATTCGAAGTAATAATAGTTTCACGGGTATATAATTATACCCACATATATCATACGTCATGTGATCTACGTTAGATATCTACAGCTTGTGTTATGTCAATTATACCTCAGTGAAGCAGCTAAAATATTTATATGTAACTGAGTCCAGTGACTTGAAATTGCAGATTTCTGGCTTACTGTCATGAAATCCTTTTCTATCAAATAGAAATGTCCAGTAAGGAAATAGGCAGCCCCTTGAGGTACCTGTCAGTGAAGATACGGAAGCAGAGACAAAATGAACAATCCCCAAGATGCTATGGAAGAAGTTGTTGTGTTATTCAAAGCATTACAGATCTGGTCACAAGATAGGTGCTAAGCCACTAGTTATGCTGCCAAGACTATCTGGAATATTATTGAATTGATTTTGGTAGGGAAAAGTTCTTTTTCTATTTTAAGGATTTGTTTATTTGAAAGGTAAGTTAGAGAAAGAATGTGTGCGTGCAAGTGAGAGAGGCAGAGAGAGAGAGAGAGAGAGAGAGAGAGAGAGAGAGAAATCTTCCATCCTCTGGCTCACTCCTCAAATGATTGCAAGGGCCAGAGCTGGGCCTATCTGAAGCCAGGAGCCAGGAGCTTCTTCTGGGTGTCCCACGCAAGTGCAGGGGCCCAAGCACTTGGGCCATCTTCTGCTGCTTTCCTAGGCATGTTAGCAGGGAGCTGGATTGGAACTGGGGCATCAAGGCTCGAACTGGCTCCCATATGGGATGCTGGCACTGCGGGTAGCACCTTTTACCTGCTATGCTACCGCACCAGCCCTCACAATGGCTTTTATAAATGCCCTCCTCTACATGACTTCTTGGAAAGAATGAAGACAGCTGTTAGCTATCTTGTACCCGCCATGTGCTAGGCCCTATGAGAGAATTCTTTATTAACTTGTTAAATTTTCAGAGAAATTTGACCAGGTAAGGGATGTTGTCACTTAGAGAGTGTCAGTAACTTAGCTATATCATGCAGCTAGTAAATGTGATTATAAGGTGATGTAATAAACAATGCCCTGTTTCACTCTTTTTTTTTTTTAAGATTTATTTTATTTATTTGAAAGACTTACAAAGAGAGGTAGAGAGGTCTTCAATCTCCTGATGGACTCCCCAAATGGCTGCAACAACCAAGGCTAAGCCAATCCAAAGCTAGGAGCCAGGAGCTTCTTACAGGTCTCCCATGTCAGTGCAAGGGCCCAAGGACTTGTGCCATCTTCTGTTGGTTTCGCAGGCACATTAGCAGGGAGCTGGATTGGAAGTGGAGCAGCCAGGACTCAAACTGGTGCCCCTAAGGGATGCTGGCGCTGCTGGCCAGGGCTTTAACCTGCTGAGCCACAGCCCAGCCCCCTGTTTTGTTCTTAAAGAAATGTTAGTTGTCATAACTGCTGAATCTGTATCCAGACCAGTCTCCCTCATGTAAGCCCAGTTCTGTGTGGGTCTGCTGTGGACAACAGAGTCATGCTTCCATCCTAACACACAGCGTGCATTCCTCCCTCCTGGCATCTGTTGCACCATGCTTTACCTTGGTGTTTGGAATCCGCCCTGATCTGAAGCTCCCCTGTGTTGGCAAGTGTTTCCATTTTCCTCTTGGTAACTACCGAACCACATAGAATTGCGTTTTTGTACTCATCGTTCTTAATTAGAGGTCCATGAATTAAGACAAATATGCTTTGCGTTTTTCAGTGGAAATGTTTTTCTGTCCTGAACGTGTCTGGCGAGCGTGACACCTGGAGGGGCTCAAGAAGAGCACTGTAATGCCAGGCTCTCGCCTGCACCTGCTGCTGCCAGCGCTCCAGGGGCGACGTTCTGGTCGTCAGACCCAGGCTTTGGGAGTACTGCCTGTCTATCCGACTCCCTGACTCTCTCCGTGGATACAAAGGGGTTCGGAGCATGCCACCTGGCCATATTGTTAATATAGAATATAAAACATTCCAGCATATCACTCTGGCTGAAAGTTCAATGTGGGCTAAAGGTGATTGAGAAAAAGCTGTCTCTCACGCGCCTGAGAGTGGAAAACACATTCTCCTCTCCTATCATTTCCATACCAGGAAGGGGCCACAGCCTTATCTCCAGATATGAGATGGTATCAGGAAGGAACCTACATGTAGAGTAGCAATAAACAAACCTTACAACTTGCCCTTAGCCACCGTGAGTTTCCCCGTCGTCATATTTGCCTTCCACATATAGCAGCTCAAAGTCCTTTCCCTTTGTCTTGAACTTCTGTAGGAAATTATTGTTCTTTGCTTGAATGCTATGTGAGCCCCACGTTCTAGACGCTCTTTGAGTTACTCATTCCTGAGTTACCGCCATGTGTATGCACACTGCCTGTGTTAAGCCCCTGTTTGCTTTTCTCTTGGTAATCTGCCTTTGATCAGGCTTATTTGCAGGACCCGAGGCAGAGAACCTAGGAAGACAGAGAGGAACGATTTTCCCTCTCCTATATGGACCTTATCCAGATTTCCCCGATTCCCTTTAACTTGCTGTGGAACTTACTTTTCAGAATTAAAAAAAAATCTCTTTTGTGATAGTATAGGAAGTTTGAGAAATCACGTTATTAGCTGGTTAATTCATTAGTTTTTCTTGCTATTCCATTTTTTGCACTATTTTATAACTCAAAAATTTTTTTAAAAGATTTATTTATTTATTTGAAAGAGTTACACAGAGAGGAGAGGCAGAGACAGAGAGAGAGAGAGAGAAAGAGAGAGAGAGTGAGGTCTTCCATCCGATGGTTCACTCCTCAATTGGCCGCAATGGCTGGAGCTGAGCTGATCCGAAGCCAGGAGCCAGGAGCTTCTTCTGGGTCTCCCATGCAAGTGAAGGGACCCAAGGACTTGGGCCATCTTCTACTGCTTTTCCAGGCCATAGCAGAGAGCTGGATTGGAAGTGGAGCAGCCGGGACTAGAACCGGCGCCCATATGGGATGCCGGTGCTTCAGGCCAGAGCGTTAACCCGCTGCGCCACAGCGCCGGCCCCTCAAAATTTTTTCTAAAAACTGCACTGTATTTGCTACTGAATCCCATTAGCAATAAAAAATTATTTGGGGTTTGGGGAGGAAGAGGAAAAGATACTTATGGAGATACTAGAACCTGTTCTTCCATTTCACTGAATGATATTCTAGTTTTATTTTACCTAATAATGAGAAAGGACAATCTGAAAATAAAACCTGGGCTGAAGAATTATAAAAATGTTGTAAGGAAGCATGAAGTATTTTTAAGGAAATCACAATAGAGACCTTGGGGAAACTAAAATGCATGACCACTTGTTACAGCTCCTTTTATGTACCATTTTGTTAAATGCACCTAAATATTTTAAGTATGACTTGGTTTTCAAGTTAAGATATTGTATTTTAATTATTACATAGGATACTTATTATATTTAAATTTGTTTTTATTTGAGAGACAGAGTGAGGGATACACACACACACACACACACACAGAGCTCTCCCCATCTGCTGGCTCATTCCTCGAACAGGCATTTTGAGGAACTGCCCAGGCTGGGCCAGAGAGAAACCAGGAACTTAATGCAGGTCTCCCATGTAGGCAGCAGGAACGCAGTTACCTGAGCCATCCCTGCTGCCTCCTGGGATCTGCATTCATTGGAAGCTGGAATAAGGAACTAGAGCTGGATTTTGAATCCAGGCATTCGAATATGGGAAACAGGCATTTTAACCAGTGTCTTGCCTGCTTGATCAAGTGCCTACCCCGGTACATTAATTTTAGCTTCTTTTGTGATCATTATAGCCAAGCCATACAGTTGCAAAATCATCTAATTAAGTTTTACATCTTTTTATTGCAACCTTTTAGGTGAATTCTTTACTAGTGCAGGCATTTGGCACAGTAGTTAAGTCATCACTTGAGAGACCCGTATTCCATATCCAAGTGCCTGATTGAGTTCCAGCTCCTCGGCTTGCAAGCCAGCTTCCTGCTAAGGCGCACCCCAGGAGGCAGCAGCTGGTGCTCCAGTGTGTTGGTCCCTGCCACCCAAGGGAGGCCTGGATTGAGTTCCAAGCTCCTAGCTTCAGACTGGTGCAGCTCCTGCTGTTGCAGGTATTTGGGGAGTGAACCAGTGGATGGAACATCTCTGACTCTGTCTCGATCTTTCAGACAGAAAATGAAAACTAAATAAAAACTGAAAAAGTAAAAAGTCAATCAGAATAATCCTGTAAGCTGAAGACTCATTAAGTTCTTCCTTCCTGTGGTGGGCATTTAGCCGGGAGGTTGACACTCTGCTTTGGAAGCCCACATCCCACACTGGAATGCCTGCTTCAGATCCTGAGTCCTCTGCTTCCAATCCAGCTTCCTGCTGGTGCACACCAGGGAGGCAGCCGGCGATGGCTCAGGGACTTGTGTTCTGGTGACCCCTGTGGGAGACCTGGCAGAGTTCAGTCTTCCGGAACTAGTCTTGGCTGTTTGAGGCATTTCAGGGGTGAACCAGTAGATGGTTGGATGATAGCACTCCCTCGCTCTGTGCCTTTCAAATAAAATGAAGGGAAGAAATGAAAAATCAATCAAAAAAATAAATCCTGGGGCCAGCACTGTGGCATAGCAGGTAAAGCCACTGCTGTGGCGCCGGCATCCCATAGTGGCGCCAGTTCTAGTCCCAGGTGCTCTTCTTCCGATCCAGCTCTCTGCTATAGCCTGGGAAAGCAGCAGAAGATGGCCCCACGTGCTTGGACCCCTGCACCCACATGGGAGACCTGGATGAAGCTCCTGGCTCCTGGCTCAGTCTAGACAGTTGGACAGTTATGCCCCTCTAGGGAGCGAACCAGAGGATGGAGGATTCTCTCCCTCTCTCTCTCTCTCTTCCCTTCTCCCCTCCCCCCAACTCTGCCTTTCAAAACAAGTAAATAAAGCTTTTAAAAAATTAAATCGTGGGGCTGGCGCCATGGCTCACTTGGTTAATCCTCCTCCTGCGGTGCCAGCATCCCATATGGGCACCGGGTTCTAGTTCCAGATGCTCCTCTTCCAGGCCAGCTCTCTGCTGTGGCCAGGGAATACAGTGGAGGATGGTCCAAGTGCTTGGGCCCTGCACCCGCGTGGGAGACCAGGAGAAGCACCTGGCTCCTGGCTTCAGATCAGCGCAGCGCCGGCCATATTGGCCATTTGGGGATTGAACCAACGAAAGGAAGACCTTTCTCTCGGTCTCTCTCTCACTGTCTATAAGTTGAAAAAATTAAATCCTTTTATAGGTCAAAATTCTCCCTTGTCCTTACGTATGAAGTGTCTATAGCAGTGCTTTTCACCCATGTAGCAGTAGCATGAACAAAATTCCCTGCAGAACACCAGTTTGTAAGCAAGGGGAAAATGGCGTGATTCTCTGTGCGTGTTTAGGGGTAAAATAGGAAAGGCCCAGGGCCTCTTCTGTCTTCCTTATAATTTCATCTTTCCAGGTGAGCCTGCCCTCACCCTAGGCAGCCCATCAAACATTTCCTGCAAAACCTTAGAGACCTGATATTTCTTTTTCTGTATATGTAATATTATAATGCTTTTGAGCATTTTGTTTAAAATATTTACTTTGAATAGTTTTCAAGGAAATCTTTTTTTGCAAGAAATAAAAGCCTTAACAATATGTAAATATCATATCTAAGACATTTTGTTAAAGATTTAATTTAAAAACATTCCTCCTGAGATTTTAGAAAAAGAAACCAAACAATATTTTGTTAAAGAAAACAAGTATCGGCCGGCGCCGCGGCTCACTAGGCTAATCCTCCGCCTAGCGGCGCCGGCACACCGGGTTCTAGTCCTGGTCGGGGCGCCGGATTCTGTCCCGGTTGCCCCTCTTCCAGGCCAGCCCTCTGCTGTGGCCAGGGAGTGCAGTGGAGGATGGCCCAGGTGCTTGGGCCCTGCACCCCATGGGAGACCAGGAAAAGCACCTGGCTCCTGGCTCCTGCCATCGGATCAGCGCGGTGCGCCGGCCGCGGCGGCCATTGGAGGGTGAACCAACGGCAAAAGGAAGACCTTTCTCTCTGTCTCTCTCTCTCACTGTCCACTCTGCCTGTCCAAAAAATAAAAAATAAATAAATAAATAAAAAAGAAAACAAGTATCTTTTTATTTCTTTTGCATTAACCTCAGTTCTATAAGTTTTCTTTAATCAAGATTACAAAGACATGTTAATAAATTGCCTCTATTTTGATATTGGGGTTTTGTAACTCTTATTTGTTATGTAGGAAACTAAGGTTTAGAAAAAAATACTTGGGGCCAGTGCTGTGGCTTAGTGGGTAAAGCTGCCACCTGCAGTGCTGGCATTACATATGGGCACCGATTTGTGTCCCGGCTGCTCCTCTTCTGTTCCAGCTCTCTTGTGTGGCCTGGGAAAGCAGTAGAGGATGGCCTACATGCTTAGGCCCCTGCATCCACATGGGAAACCTGGAAGACGCTCCTGGCTCCTGGCTTCAGATAGGCTCAGCTCTGGCTGTTGGAGCCATTTGGGAAGTGAACCAGCAGATGCAAGACCCCCCCCCCCCTCTCTTTCTTTCTTTCTCTCTGCCTCTGCCTCTCTGTAACTCTGCCTTTCAAGTAAATAAATAAATCTTTAAAAAAAAAATCCCTTTCTAAAAAAGAAAGAAAAAAATGGTGCTCCCCTCCCAGCCCCACTGTGCCATGTTACAGGTCACCTGGAGAACCTGATGTGTTTCCGAGACCAGCTACAGAACTGCAGATTGTCAGGCTGACATTAAGAGGCTGTTGCTAAAGATGATTTTCTCCTTTTGCCTTCATTGGGCTGCAACTAAATTATTCACATCCAAGAGATGAACGTAGCTCTGGATCACAGAGACAGCACAGTTCTCAGCTGTGGCTGATTCTTGCTTATATCTTTAATAGGGAGGATTTTATTTGACCAGAAATTGTCAAATCGGTGCTTGGAGCTATTAGCAGAGTGTTTATGAAGGCCTATGGCATACGAAAGTTAGTTTTACTTTGAGAATCTCAATGTACATTCTCAACATTACACTGTAGGTGATTGTTTTGTCATATTACGTGTTCCTAAAAACCCACTTGATTGTAGCCAGCTCTCCCCAGGTACTGAAAAGCTCCCGCGCATCCTGGCGTTGGGAAGTCATTACTGCATAAACACTTCAGCTGGAGGGCGTGTCGTTTTTCCAGGGCTCAGCCCTTGCTCTTTGGTCCATATGTCAGCGTTTTACGCCAGCACCTTCCTTCTGGGATCTGAAAGGATGTGTGTGCATCTCCCAGGATAAGCTCAGACCTTTCACTGTTCTCGTTATTAGAAAGCTGGAGTGAATACGGGTCAGCCTGTTAGATGGCTGGCTGGCTGCTTTTTCTGCGAGCATCGGATGTTAGGAGAAGCTAGTTCATCTGTCTGTGGGTTTAGGATTCGACAGCAGAAGCTGTCAGACTAACACTGATGGAAGGTGGACTGGGAGGAGGAAGCGCATCTGTCCTGCGGCTCGCCATTGGCTTCTTATTACGGCATTCTCCCCGGAGACGAGACGCCCTCGCACGCTCATTCACGGGCTCCCTCCCTCCCCTCCCTTCCTTTCTTACCCCTTCATTACTGATTCACAGCGAGAGGCGGCGGCGGCGGCGGCGGCGGTGGCAGCAGCAGCAGCAACAGCGCTGCTCGTCACGAATCAAGGATTGCAATGAGCTCATCCTTTTCTCCTTGCAGAATCGCAACTGCCCCGGCTTCCTGGCTGCTGCTGCCGCCGCCGCCGCCGCCGCCTGCTCAGCCACAGCTGCACGCACACATTCTCTCTCACACACATGCACACGCACACACGCTCACATGCTAGACCCTCCTGAGCAGCTCGTCCGTGTCCACACATGTCCGAGAACTCTCCTGCATCACTCTGAGCCATTTTCTTGCATGTGATTGCTTTTGCTGTTTTTCATTTGCCATCAGCATTTGATCTCCTCTTCATCCTCCAGTCTACTTTGGGGCTCTTGGAACAGTGGAGAATTTAGCCAGCATGTTTTTCTGGAGGAGACATTAGCTGACAGTCCCCTGTACAGACTGGCGTGTGCGTCCTCCTGGGGAGACCTCAGCCTGGCTCCTCTCCCACCGCAGTTCCTAACAGTGTGGATAAGAGATCCAGCTTTCTCATTCTGGATCCCTCCTTACTGCTCATGGAAGAAGGGGTGCCCTGCCCAGCCCCAGCTGCTAAGCTCACCCCTCCTGTCAGAAAGTCCCAGGACATGCGCGACGAGAGAAGCAAGCTGGTGAATGAGTATGCTTGTCGGGTGCTGGAACTTCTGGGGATGGGGCATCGTCTGTTCGTGCCTCGGCTTCTCGCGGTGAGACTGTTTTTCATTGAACTTCATTTGTGGGAGGCTGCCACCCTCTGTGAGAATCCCCGATCCCTGGGAGAGGCTGTGGTCTCCCGTTGGCTTCTCCTTCTCCCGGTTCCGCTGAGAAGGAAGGGCCGAGAGCCACCGCTGCGCAGCTCGTCGGAGCCTGGCCCACGCCACTCCTTAATTGGCTGGAGAAGACCATGGCTCTTTTCCTGGAGTCAGGGTTCCGTTTGTGGCGTTATCTCTGTGGCAGGGAAAACATGGTTTTCTGGCCGGCCAGGCTCAGCAGCAAAGCAGAATACCTGAGTTCTTGGTTTAGGATTCTGTTATTTTATCTCCGAAGGGTTAAATTTTACAACAGACATAGCTGCTTACCTAGACATGTGTGGTTTGCTTTCTAGCCTCCCCCCTTTGATTGCCAACTTGATTATTTTTTTCTTTTTCGCTAGGGAATTTGGCCACCTCAACATCTTTGGGGTAGGAAATTTGGGCTTTTCTCCCAGCATGATTGAACTGAAACAGCTTAAAGCTTAAAGCTGCCGGTTCTGTGTCATGAGACTGGAAAGTCTGGCTTGTTTGTTATTTGATTTCCTGAACGAGAAAAAAAAAATCATCCTTCTTCCTTGCCTGCCAAGGGTTAAAGTTAAATACCCACAATCACTGTTGCAGGGGTTCTTTTTAGTGGTTTGAGAACTGTACCTAGCAACTGTTCTGTGATATAATTGGTCTGCAGGAATCCTATACCATTATTTGGTAATAAAAGAAGAATAATTAAGCTGGGTGTCTTCTACAGAATGCAATTTAATCATTCCAGACTGTTTGCCTGTATTCCAACCTTTAGAGTACAGTATTTATTTGGCTGAATTTAACTGTGTTCCCTCCCATGTCTCGCTCCAGTGTATTTCAGCTTTATTTATATTTACAATTATTCATCTCTTTGTGTGCAAATTCACATGCAGATGCAATCTCTTCTGTGTAATAACAGACACGTTGGGTGGCCCTGTACGTAAGGAATCTCCCACCCTGAAGAAAGTCTGTTTTTCATTGCAAGAGGAAGTTAGGTGCAGTGCAGGTCCCCGGGGGTGGGGGCGGTGTTCAGAGACCCAGGGTCCTCTCCCAGTAAAGGAAGGAAGCAGAAGAGCCCAATAGAAATGTTTTCATGCCCAGGTGAGGTTCTGGTTTTCCTGAATCCCGTTTTTAATCGAGGAGATTCCATAGAGAGGAGTTTTGTTTGTTAAAAAGTGAGAGAAGGAAATACATTTCAGTCAATTTTCTGCCTCTCTGAGGAATCAGACTTGGTCTGATGTAGTTCTGCATCCTAAAAGACCACACACCTTTGTGACTCCAGGTAACTGGCCAGTAATCTGGTGTTGCCTCTCTCTGGCAGTTACGGTTTCAGTGTATGGAAGGAAACATAAGCTGGTAACTAAAAATATCTCTCATACTGAAATCTGCTTTAGAGATGAATTGGAACTACTCTGAAAAGAATCACCAGTCAGATTGACAAGGGGTTGAGTTCTCAAGCCTGAGGCCTTTGAAAGGCCATTATATTCATCTGTATATTGCATTCGCATGCAGCTTGTTTACCAAGTCATGTATGTGAGGACACAGCACCTCTCAGGTTGGGTGTGCTCTTAGTGTTCAGAACGTAGGTGACAGCGCCACCGGAATCACCTGTGACAAGCGTATGCTGAGCTGTCTGTGGGGCCGTTTAAAATCTCTGCCTGTTACCCACCATGACACTTGTAAGATTGTTGGTAGAACCAGGATGAGCCACATTTTAGGCAGTGACATACCTGTTCATTATTAGCAATGTAAATGCGAATATGAATAGGGATCTGCTGTCCAAGGAGTCACTGCTCAAAATGTGTGAGTGCCAGTAGGGGGATGGTTGTTCCATCCTCGTGTTACTGGACTGGCTAATGACGTGGGGTCGATGGCTACCCACACAGGGCAGTCCAGGAGGGATCCCGCCACATGTTGTGCTATAATCTTTCCATTTCCTGTCCAGAGGGCGAGCACTGAAGTTGAAGACGTGCCTGTGCCTTTTTAGTCACATTTTAAACATGATTGCATGTGATGTAAACATGTACAGATCTCTTATGTAAAGATCGCAGTATTCTCCATTAGAAGACACGTTATTTTAAAAAAACTAAAGTAATTGGAGATATACCAAGACAACATGCAGATTTGAATCCTGGGCCTTATTTATTGTTCCCTGTTTCACAGAGGGGCCATCAAACTACTCAAACACGCAGCTCCTATAACTCTTGGGTGGAAAGAGGCCATTGACTGAATAGAGGAAGCGCATTTGGAATTTTTGCTTATCACCCTTTAAAGGCACACTGGGTAAAGGACAATTTTCCTCTGATACATCAGGTACAAGTACTTCATTTTAGATACCACCCCAAGGAGGGGATAGGAATATCCTAAGCACCAGCCAAATAACAGCTCCTCTTGGAAAGCTTGAGCTTGCAAATGATTCTCAAGCTTTCTAAAATATTTCTTGTCTGAACAGAAATCATGTTAGAAAAGGAGAAAAACAATCAAAATAATGAAAGTGGAAGAAAGGACCAGTCTTAGATTTTTTTCCCCAAATTACCTCCCAAAAGAATAAGCCCTAGAATTTTCTGCTTATTGGAGACCCTTAAAGAATGATTTATCATCTCAGAATAGTGAGGAGTTTGGGATAGAAGCATCTGGAGTTAACACTGAGATGTTACAGCTATTTCCGCCCACCCTGCCTCCTTAAGAAAAACATCACTTTAAAATGTGACACTCTTGCACTGAATTTTTCAGTGGGAAAAACACATTCAAAATGGTATCAGCAGGAGCACATGGCCACAGTCCATGCTCTGACAAAATGTGGATAAAGTAGAAAAACTTTTATTCTGCTCATGTTCAAAATCTCCCTTTTCCGCTCTGCATTTTTTTTTCTTTTTGCTACCATATGAATAAGAAGTTATTATCGTGTCATTATTGTATTAAAATTACCATTGGCTACAGTTTCAGTACTGATAAGCTGGGCACTTTCTGCCAGGAGGTTATCCAGGCAAATGCTCTAGCTATCACTTTGATAGCCATTTTAGGTTTTCATTGCAATGAGATTTCTTACACTGTCAAATTGCATTCCAGTTTGGTTTAGTTTGGTTTGTGTTGCTAATTTGTGGTCTTTGTTTATTTTTGAAGATTTATATATTTATTTGAAAGTTAGAGTTACACAGAGCGAGAAGGAGAGGCAGAGAGAAGTCTTCCATCCGCTGGTTCACTCCCCAGTTGGCCGCAACAGTCGGAGCTGTGTTGATCCAAAGCCAGGAGCCAGGAGCTTTTTCCGGGTCTCCCACGTGGGTGCAGGAGCCTAAGCACTTGGGCCATCTTCCACTGCTTTCCCAGGCCATAGCAGAGAGCTGGATCAGAAGTGGAGCCAGGACTCTAACTGGCGCCCATATAGGATGCCAGCTCTGCAGGTGGCGGCTTCACCTGTTACACCATAGCATTGGCCCCCATGTGGTCTTTCTTAAAACATTAATTTTAGCAGTGTTGAAAGAAGAGGGGAGAGAGTATGTCTCCCATGGCTATCACTATTGCTAGGAGCTGCAGAGATTGGTTATTGAAGAGATTACAACCTCTAAAAGAAGTTAAGACTCAAAATTGAGAAATTGTACGTATATTTCTGATGCCCCTCAAAATCTGAAAATCAGTTTTTATGTCAAAATAAGTCCTAAATCTACTCCATAATTTCCACTGTATAAATTTTTATTCTTTGGAGGGACCAGGATTGTGGCACAGCAGGTTCAGCTACTACTTGCAACACCAGCAACCCATATCCGAGTGCCAGTTGAGTTCTAGCTGTTCTACTTCCAATCCAGCTCCCTGCTAATGTGCCTGTGAAGGTAGCAGAAGATGGCCCAAGTCCCCGGGGCCCAGCTACCCATGTGGGAGACCCAGGTAGCATTCTCGGGTCCTGGCTTCAGCCTGGCCCAGCCCCAGCTGTTGTGGCCATTTAGGGAGTGAACCAGTGATCTGTCTCCCTTTCTCTGTAGCCCTACCTTTCAAAAAAAGAAATAAAGATGTCTTTAAAAATGTTTTTGACTTTTTTAATATGGGATATGTTTGAAGTCAAACCTTTATGAATTCTTGTGAATTCTTGTGAATTTACGTGGACATCTCTTGGGATGCCAACCCAGTTTGCTGACTTCATTTTACTGGGCTGAGTGCAATGCATGCTGACATTAACAGCCTACTTCCCTTTTCCCCGATCTTCCTTCCTGCCTATCCAAAGGAAATACAAGTAGGACTTGTTTACATGTCTTTAAGTGTGCAGGTAATCTTTTTACACACAGCAGTTCTGCTGAAATGAAGGAAGAC